GACCCGCTGGCCTGGGACCCGCTGCTCTGGGACCCGCTGGCCTGGGACCCGCTGCTCTGGGACCCGCTGGCCTGGGACCCGCTGCTCTGGGACCCGCTGGCCTGGGACCCGCTGCTCTGGGACCCGCTGGCCTGGGACCCGCTGCTCTGGGACCCGCTGGCCTGGGACCCGCTGCTCTGGGACCCGCTGGCCTGGGACCCGCTGCTCTGGGACCCGCTGGCCTGGGACCCGCTGCTCTGGGACCCGCTGGCCTGGGACCCGCTGCTCTGGGACCCGCTGGCCTGGGACCCGCTGCTCTGGGACCCGCTGGCCTGGGACCCGCTGCTCTGGGACCCGCTGCCCTGGGACCCTCCTCTCAGACTCCAGCGGAGGACAGAGGTAGGGTCACCTGCTGCACACGCACCTCACCTGTGCCCCCTGTCCTCCCCCGCTCCCCCCTTCTGTGAGAGACAGGAGGCCCAACTCAGCGGGCACGGTGCCCGGGGGCAGGGGCTCCCACGCAGGAGGGCGACTGTGGCTCGATCCTTTCTTTTTTCTTTTCCCTGAAGATCTCCCCTCTTCGCCAAGACAGCTGGGGCGTTCGGTTCTGGAAGCAATCAGGGTGCAGGCAGGGTCTGGGCTTCGTCAGGCCTGGCTGCTTTGCTTTCCTGAAAACGATTAGAGCTTTTGCATTTGATGAAAGGTTTGAAAGAGGCCCTTTTAAATGGAAGACTTTAAATTTGCATACTGATTAGAAGTGGTGCGTTCCCCTCGTTGTGGGTGGAGTTGGGAAGGACTGTGGTTCTTTAGGTTCAGGGACTAGGTTCCTCTTTTAAAGGAAGGGTCCCATCTCCTCCTGCCGTGGGGGCAGTTTTTCGTGGCCCCGTCGCCTGGTTTGCTGGCCTCTGGGCGAACGCTGGAGCCTGGGAGGTAGATGGGAGGAGGGGAGACTGTCCTTTAACACAATAAACCAAATACTGTCCCCAATACCTGCCCATCCCTGGGCCCTGCTGGTTCTGATCCAGGAGGTGCTGACCCAGGAACAGAAACACTCGTAAATGCCACTAATTGGGAATCTGCCTCAAAACACTGGCAAGAAACAAATCGCCCTCACGTTTCTGTCCTCTCGAGGTTGCTCTCGGGTGGGGTTCACTGTGGGGATGTCTGCAGATCCCTGAACCGGCTCCTCTCAAACACGTGGCAGAATTGGGTTTCGTGCAAAATTACTGGCGAGGTCACCACGTCAAGAAGGCCGTTCGGCTCCCTGGGGGCCCCTGGGTTTTCTGCCTGGTTTTGTTTGTTTCTTTCCCGCGTGTTTTAAATCGTATTTGGGAGAAGGAGGCACTTTGTTATCTCGGAAATCTCCTGCGAGGTTCCGCCTGCCCTGCGAGCCGACAGGCAGGGTCTGGTGGGAGGGCTGGACCGGCTCCGTGGCCAGGAGAGCCGTGGCCCCGCGAGTGTTGCTGCAACACACATCCCACCCCCTTTTGCCTGAAATGGTGGGGGGCCCCTCGTGAAAAGGTAGGAAATTAAGGGCGAACTTAAACTTAAAGCCGCCAAGATGCAGGCAGGTCCTGCCCGCTCCAGACACAGGGGTAAGTGATGGGCCAGGACACAGGGCCAGGCAGCAGCTGGGGCTGGAGGTGCCCATGCTGAGCCGCCCGACAGCGGAAGGCACTTCCCCCAACAGGTCCCTCCTGGTGAAGGGACGTGTCCGCCAGATGAGGTGGCCAGGGAGCCTCAGGAGGGCGCGGAGCCGACCGGACAGACCGTCCGCAGGCTCTTAGGCGGCGCCTTTGTGAGTCCCGCCTTCGGACCCACATCCTCCCCTGAGAGCCTCCGTTCCGCGTGACGTAAATGTGCTGTTTGCCGAGGGCGCCCACTCCAAGGCCCAGCCACCGCGTGTGGACGTTCGCTCCCGCCCCGACATGGAGACCGTCCTGATTCGCTGTAACGCGATGTCATGGGTCCCAGCTGGACGTGTGTCTGAAGAGGTGGAAGTTGGTCTCCTTTTAGGCTCCAGGTTGTGCTGATGGACCGACCGAGTGCCCAGAGCCAGGAACCGGTCTGTTCACAAAGAATAAATCAGAATTGCCCGGCTGGGTGGCTCAGGGGTTGAGCATCGACCTGTGAACCAGGAGGTCAGGGTTCGATTCCTGGGCAGGGCACAGGCCTGGGTTGCAGGCTCGATCCCCATTGTGGGGTGTGCAGGAGGCAGCTGATCCATGATTCTCTCTCATCACTGATGTTTCTCTCTCTCCTTCTCCCTTCCTCTCTGAAACCAATATATAAAAATTATATCCTTGGGAATGATTCTCTCTCATCACTGATGTTTCTCTCTCTCCTTCTCCCTTCCTCTCTGAAATCAATACAAATATATTTTTAAAAAATCAGAATAGAATTGCCCAAACCAAGCTGCTAACAAGTCAACACAGGAGCATACGTCTTTCTCACTCTCAGGCCCTCGCGCCTGGCGCAGGCTGGCCCTCCAGGCACCACGCACGGGTCTCGGGCGAGGTCTGGTCCTGGGACGCAGGGCCCCTTTGCTGGGAAAGTGCGAGCACCCCCACACACACACACAGGCGGCGGCTGGGAGCTGCTGGGAGCTGCTGGGAGCTTCCTCCCCTCTTTCTAATCTGAGTGTTTTCTCTGAAAGACCCAAGAACCACACAGCTCCCTCCTCCCAGGC